AGGGGGGTGATGGGGCAGGAGCATTCCCTCTAGGGATTGGAGATGGGACAGGGAGTGGAGGTGGGGAAGCTGTGGCTTGAGCTTTGAACCTGATCTCTCAACCTCAACAGGAAGACTGCACCAGCAACAACTTTCTTACGGCTCCCAATTTGGCACTCTGAAGGCCCCCTCTTTGAGAGTGGGGGGAAGGATTTTCCAAGGATAGAGGGAACTTGCAGAATCTTCTAGTTTGTAATAGGCAGTCTAAGTTTGGGAGGAGGCTGCAGGTAGACAAGCAGTTCTTGTTTCCCAGCGGAAGCCCTCGTGGTCAAAGTACCACTCAGGCTGTTGGTGAATGCCAGATGGTTTTAGATTACAGGCCTGACCTCAGTGAGCCCACAAATGATCGTATTCATCTCCTCATTCTGTTGGTTCTTGGCTCTTTGGCTCAGAAGCAAATTTCACAGGCCAGTCCCTTCAGCCAGGGTATGTTTGCACTCTTCATCACACCCCACCGCAGGCTGTGGGAAAGGAAGGAGCTGAGCTCTCCACAGTCCAGTGAGTTCAGATCCCGGTCCCAGAGTTACTGTAGAGCAAGCATGTCAAACTCAAAGGCTAACACGGGCCAAATAAACGAGGCACGCGGCCCACGGGCCACGAGTTGGACTGCTTGCTGTAGAACCTTCAGTCAGCTATTTCTCTGAGCCAGTTCAGCTGTAACATGTGGATAATAATTCATTGTTCCTCCCTGGCTTGTAGTGAAATGAAACAAGACAAAGCACCTAGCACACAGCTGTCAATGTGACTTGTGTCCTTTATCTATCACGTTTAACCTAGCAAATATGTAGTATTCTGATAAATCTGACGTCAGCTCCTTTTGCATGAGACATTCTCTGAACCTCTGTTTCCTAGATAGCTTTTAGGATCCGCTCTAGTTGCAAAAATGTGAGAGTCTGCGATTCTAAGCTAGTTCCCCACGGAGTTTCTGTGAGTCAGAGAGAAGCTCTGTTCAGCAAATCCTATGGGGCTGCAGATGATGGTACCAAACTAAGGCGTGCAGCTGCGAGCTGTGGCAGCCAGGGTGCAAGACCAGGAGAGGAAAGCCTCAGAGCCCGAGAAGAGCTGCAAAGGAAAAGACAGCTGCAAGTCTGTCCTGAGTAAATCAAAGTGTGACGTTTATTGGGCTATTTCAAGAATAACACCAGCAAGAAAACTGGAATGCAGGATACGCTTTGCCAGGAAGGATCTTAGCGGAGCTGCCTATAATAACCAGGCTTGTGGACTAGAGTCAGCCTGGCTTAAGGAAAAGGTCATAGGTTGGGGACACTCAGACCTGAGTTTTAATTCTGTCTCCACTACTTATCAGTGTTTCTGGGCAGGTTATTTAACCTCTCTGAGCCTCATTTTCCTCCTCCCTTAACAACAACAACGACCAAAAAGGTAAATAATAAAGGAAACTTTCAAGATGATTGTGGCTGTTGGGAATGTTAAAAATAACTTGATGTATTTTGGTATTCAATAAATAAGAGCTACATGACTCTGAACACACCACACTAGGGCCCCCAGGTCCTCTGGACCTGGAACCACCCTTTCTCAAATGTGTACCTGGTACAATGTAGAGAACTGATGGGTGGGGGAGGGGGAGGCATCAAGGCTGGGGGTGGGTGGGTAGAGGGGAGGAAAGAGATCAAAAGGCCTATAAATATCTGTCAAACTTTAAAATGCAAATCCCTTGCCTGTACCCCTGTTGGGACCAAATCTTCTGTTATCACCTTTCTGAGAAGAGAAAGAAAGATTAGCATAGTCTTTCTCTTCATGGAATGTTTTGGTTTGGTTTGGTGTGATTTTGTGGCCAAGCCTGAATATGTGATAAATATTTTCATTCAACCCAGATCTGGAAGCGTGAGTAGAGAGTTAAGACACTAAGGGGCATATTGTGTCATAAAGTCTTAACACCTCGTGGTTTTCTTTGTGGATTGACCATGAATTTCTTAAGAAAACGAACCCTTACTATAGCCCCTGCAATTTGCATGATACTTGGTATAGAGAACCTGCTTATGGAATACATGTATGGACAAATGAATGGACGGATACTTGTTCATTTTGAGCATAGGAAGTCATCTTCATTAGCTAGTGACCTAGTTCTCAGGAATCGCCTTGCTCTATACTTTATTGGGGTCCCCGCTGAGGGGCAGTCCACACAGGAGGCAGCTATGGCCCTCAGAGAAACTCTTAGAGATGGTCTCTGCCACCCTGTACCGGAGTGTATATAATGCCCAATACCTGACATTCACTGTGTGCCAGGTCCTGGTCCACCCCTCCCCAACCCCAACCATAAGTCAAAAACTAGAAACCTCACTCACCCTTTTCCTCCTCTTCTTTTGCCTTATTGGCCTTGTTTTCTCACAAAATTATACTTGTATGTAATGAGTGAGTGAGTTACTTTCTAGACAAAAGGATCTAACAAATGTCGCCAGCCTGGAATGCCCTCAAATACTTATCATTTGTTACTCATTCTTGGGTAAATTCACCCAATTTTAAGTCTTACCCAAGAACCTCATGGCCTTCACTCCCCCCTGTAAACTGTATCCACCATTCAAGCCTCCAATCAACTCAACTAGCAAGTCTCTGAGGACCACCTGGGTGCTCACTGACCACTCTCATCTGCATGCTGATGCCCTCTCCCTTCACCCAGCACTTAGGTGTGTTATTTGTTATCTCAAATGCAAATGAGTCTGGTGTCACAACTTAGTTATAAAGATCTTGAAAGGAGAGACTAGTTATTATTCCCTTGTACTCCGCACCATGTCTAACCAGGTGCTGGATCCATCTTAAGAATTCAATTACAACTTGTGGCACGTTGGTGGTCAAAATGTGGATTTGGGTTCAAAGCTTAACTTCATTCATTCATTCATTCATTCATCCAATAAAGTTGTATTAAATGTGTGCTACATGTTACTCATGGTTAAAAGTAGCTCAAGGGATATGACAGAAAACAAGATGAAGTTTCCTCTCATGTTGTCACTGTAGTGATAGGAGACAAAAAAACTCTAATAATTTGTGAGGAAAATAACTCAGGGTAAGAAGCAAGAGTAGAGGAGTGGGAGTCAGAGTGGGGAGGTGGCGACTTAGCATCATCACAAAAGTACTAGCTGAATGGTGAGTAGGAGCTTACTATCCAAAACCGTGTGAGAAGTTCAGGCATATGGCACAGTAAGTTCAAGAGCCAGAATGTGGAATGAGCTTGGTGTGTTTAAGGAAATGAAGTAGCTGAAGCCGGTTTGGCTCAGTGGATAGAGCATCAGCCTGCGGACTGAAAGGTCCCAGGTTCGATTCCGGTCAAGGGCATGTACCTTGGTTGTGGGCACATCCCCAGTAGAAGATGTGCAGGAGGCAGCTGATCGATGTTTCTCTCTCATCGATGTTTCTAACTCTCTATCTCTCTCCCTTCCTCTCTGTAAAAAATCAATAAAATATATTTAAAAAAAAAAAAAAGGAAATGAAGTAAAGCCAGCAGCACTGGAGCAAGGTGATCGAGGGGAAGAGTCCAGAGATGAGGTCAGGGAGACAGGTAGGGCTCAGCCACGGAGGACCTGACAGACTGTCAAGGAATTTGGAATTGACACCAAGAAGATGGGAAGCTTTTGCATGGAGGAAAGGGTGAAGGCGGTGCTGGTGTCAGAGGTGGTTTGCACTTTCTATAGATTGTCTGGCTGATGTGTGCACTACAAAGGGCGCGAGTGCTTTGAAGCAGGGAGGTCAGTTAGGAGGCGCGTTTAGTAGTCCCTGCGAGAGTAGTCCGTCAGAGTCCCTGTCCCCTTTGGAGGGAGCAATGCAACTGGGAGGAGACGAGCATACCAACTGTGTGGCCACAGGCATGTTACTTTACTTCTCTGGTTGCTTTCAAGATTAGTAAAAAATGCACTTAACTGATTACAACCGGCCCAGCCCCTTGCAGTCACTGTGCAAAGGTGACTCAAGTCAGAAATGAATGCCAAAAAGGAGCCGCTCTTAATGGACGCTCCACTGAGAACTCACAGATGACCTCATCCTGGGGACATCTGGCCCTGGTGGTTAGAGCGTCAAAGGAAGGGGGTGAAACTTCTAGATTTGGCGCCCTGGATGTCCTGCACCTCCCAGTCCTTCCTTACACCCAAACCTCCCAGCTTTCCCACTGTAACTTCTCTGATCGTTTCTTGCTTTTCTGGGGCTCCACTACTCTGATTTAGTGGCCAGTTTTCCAGAAATCAAATCAGTAGAAGTCAATGCATCTCTCTGACAGGTTGTTTCTTTAAAAGTGTCATACACTTAGATAAATGTGGAGTAGACAGAAGCCTTAATTTTTGCCAGAGAAACTGTGCAGTTAGACTACTAGCTCTGGGTTCAAATCCTGGCCCTGCTTTTTACTATATGTTGACCTTGGATAAGTTCCTTCACTTCTCTTAGCCTCATATATAAACAGGGAATTAAAAGTGCCTGCCTTTCAGTTTCTGTGGAGCAAATGTGAGGATTTTGAAAAAGTAGAAAAATGTGTGGATGTAATAGTAAACATTTAATATGTGTCATTTCTCTTCTCCCAAGATTCAGTGCTGTTTATACTATCCAATATGTTTTGTCTTTTTTCTTCATATTAGAGACAAGTTACCTTCTCAAAAAATTATACAGGTTATAATACAACACATTTTAAGAACAGTGCTTATTCACCAATGGATTTGACAAATCAAAATCAGTAATATTAAATGTATACATTAATGTTTGTTTCTCCAAAAGCTGTTTATTCTCAACATATAAATGAGAGTGAAGGGGGGAAGAAATATCATTCTCACCTATGTAGGAGAAGCATGCAGAAGCTGGGAACATTTGCCCAAGGTAGCCAGTCTCTATCAGAAATCGGACAATTACTCAGACCATTGCCTCCCACGTTAAAGAAAATGTCCTTTGGTCTGTTTCACAGGATGTAGACGGGATTGTATGGAGTCCTTGACACCTCTCATAGCACTATCCCAGCTGTGAAGTCATGGGGCCTTCACAGAGCCTGGACTTGAGACGTCTGCGTTTGGACAACCCTGTTAAAATAAGCCTTCTGGCATCTGGCATTCACAGGGTTGGCATTCTCAGTTTAATAAAAATGTAAATGACTTTAGCAATAATATTACTTTGGAGCAGTCACTGAATCCACATTGCTTTCAAATAAAACAAACAAACAAAAAAAGCAAAGAATCTGTAATCTACCTTTACATGAACGTTGAATAAATCACTCATTTTCATTTTCAAAGGACAGCACTTTGAGACTTCACTCACAGCAGGAAGGTGGATATCTGTTGAGTGGTAGATGAGTAGGAGTTAGGATGATGCAAACAGTATAGAATTCTTTCATTCGGTTTTTGATAAGAGAATTTTGCCATTTTGGGGAGGTCAACATTTTGTTTTTTGGGTCTTGGCACAGAATAATGCTGAGGAAGCTCAGGCACTTAATCCCTATTAAAGAAGTTTCGTTTGGTACTTACCAAAGAATTCTTCCGAACATTAGCAGAATACTCAGACATTATCAGCACAGAAGACTCAGCCTGATTTCTAGATGACCCTTTCCTCCAGTGCCAAACAGGCCATTTATTGAATTTATCTGGCCTGGGAATAAGTACATTGTCCACTCTGACAATCATCAGCAAAGGTCCCACTGTTTTTGACTATCCTGGGCCTGACTCTGCAGCTTGTCATTTTAAAGGCAATGTGGCAAGTCCTTTAAGGGGCTAATTCGAGCTGTTAGCTGAGCCTGATAAAAGGTTTTCCTGGCTAAGAAGGTGATAAATGTTGCCACGTTAATCTGCAGATGAAAGGAGGCTGCCTTTGGTGATATTATTTAAGCTGTTTCACCCTAAGTGCTACCAGCATAACAGGAATAGTGAGCGGTTGAGTTAGCCCCTTCACCTTCAGAAAGCAAGGCATCTCACCCTGGCATCTTCACATGACAAAGCGGGACACGTGATCAAGCTGATGGAGGGAACCATCCAACTGGATCTGATCTTTCTTGATGGAGAATGGAAGAACGAAGACCCCAAATTCACCACCAGGCAATCAGCACCCATTCACTGATGGCTTTCTGGGGCAGCCCCTCTGCTAGGGGTTAGATTCAGGAATACAAGATGCTCACAGCCTGGTACCTGAGACAAAATGCAAAACACTCGAAATAAAGCTATTTGCAGGTAATATTTTAAAAGTCTATAGGAAAGAGGAAGGGTTCTTGAGAAGCAATATAAACCCCTCTTAGAAAAAACCAGGTTTATTCTGAGTCTTGATGGATAAATAAGAGTTGGTGAAGCAGAGAATTAAACTCTGAGCATAGTGCTGGGGGATACAAAAATAAATACGATTTAACCTCTGTGTTCAGAATTCTGTCTTATCTTAAAGGTAAGTACATTTAAAAAAAAAAGAATATGCCTGCTATATAGTAGACACTCAACTAATATTTTGAGTGTATGAATTAAATGTGATAAATACTATCATGGAAGTATGCACAATTTCTTCAGGACCACAAAGAGAACAACTAATGGAATTGAATGAATTATGGAAACATAAATATTGGGAAAGGTTCTTCACTAAAGGAATTAGGAGACCTGAGTTCTAGCCCCAACTGAAGCTTTTTCCAGCTGGGTGATTTGAAAAAATTATTTTAAATTCCATGGACCTCCAGCTGGCTGTGATACATAGAAAAACATAGGGCTCTTTTACAAAGTAGTTGTTCAATAAATATATTAGGTGGCTAAATGAGTAATATATCAGCTGCAAATAATATTTGGTTTATTGAAAATATATTTTTATTGATTTCAGAGAGAAAGGGAGAGGGAGAGAGAAACATCAATGATGAAAAAGAATTATTGATCGGCTGCCTCCTGCAAGCCCCAAACTGGAGATCGTGCCCACAATCTGGGCATATGCTCTGACCAGGAATCTAACCGTGACCTCCTGGTTCATAGGTTGACCTCAACCACTGAGTCACACCAACTGGGCTGCAAATTATATGGGAATAAGCACACTGTTCTCATCTCATAAAATCCCCAGAACACCTCTAAATCTATTTAAAAAATTAAAAAAAGGACATCTCTATATTGTAAGTATTTACCTGGACTAGATGGTCCTAAACCATGGGTCGGCAAACTTTTTGACTCGAGGGCCACAATGGGTTCTTAAACTGGACCTGAGGGCCGGAACAAAAGCATGGATGGAGTGTTTGTGTGAACTAATATAAATTCAAAGTAAACATCCTATCTAATAAAAGAGAAACATGGTAATTAGCATATAACCGCTACCCTTCCCATTGGCTAATCAGGGCAATATGCAAATTAACTG